AGCTAATCGGACATTGTTGGCACTTGTACGGCAGATTGTCCGTATGGATCCGCAGATGTATTTGAAGTTCGTAGCGCATCTCGAAGTGGCGCGGACAGTAAGGACACTGATTGTTTTGCTTGCCAACGATATTATTCCTATATGATTGCAAATACATGTATTGAGTAGAGTATTTAGATAGTTTCAGTGTGCGCTTACTTCATTCCTGGCGCTCCTTTCTGCTTTTGCCGCTGCTTTACACTGCTTCGACTCAGGCATTTTGTGGGCCTGTCCAGCTCAACCTGGATAGGTCCTATATCTATTTCAGCACAGTTATCTTCTGTTTTGATCTCCTTCTTCCCTACAGGTTTGGCCAGCATCGTCTCGGCGGAATGCCATTCAGTACTTACATCTTCCTCTTTTATATGCTCTATTTTTATGTATTTCTGCTCCAAATTCTCGCTCATCGTAGACAATGCACAGTATTAAAACATAAATTTAACTTAAATTATTCTAGAATCCAATTTTAATTAATTGCGTGTAAACAGTCCGTGCACAGCAACAGCTGTTTAAGGCCTGCCAACTCGACAAAAAGAGCTTCGTGCCCAAATCCAAAAGCACGAAAAGGCACGAAAAAGCCTGACAAGGCACGACAAAGCCTAACAAAGCACGAAAAGTCCAGACAGGTCATGATAAAGCCTGTAAAATATCTTATGCGCCAAATATTGGGCAATATCTGAATATCACTGTTTTTTGAACTAACCTTTTTTCAAGTATCTAGAGATTTGGAAGCATCTCTGTACTTAATCTCTAGAGAATTTTTTTGTTAGGCCCGAATTGATATTTTTATGCCTCTTTCTTGGATGCTGTTGCTGTAATATTTGGTCCGTTGACGTTGTCAACAAATATACAGCCATCCAACTCTATCTTAATAGATCCGATGTCCATCTCTGTGAGAAGAGCTTCATCACGATTCTCGAGGACAACTTCATTTGACTTCTTGTTATGCTCCTCCTTCTCCTCCAATAGTTAATTTTTGTCCTAAATCTGATCCATATTTTCGCTCTTGTCTATATTTTAATATTAATTTTATTTTTATAATTAAATTGGCTTAAATAAACTTCATATAAACAAATTTTACTTACAAGCCGGAGAAAAAAATCCGCACACAGCAACAGATGTTAAAGGGCTGCCAACTTAGCTGAACGTTTTGTAAACGACAGAACAAGAAGAAGAAAATGTTAAGTGCGCGCCAAGTAACTAATTCAAAAATACGCCTACAGCACATAGTTGAATTTCAAAAAGAAATGTTTAGTATATGATTAAATAATAATAAATTGAGTGTAGCTTAATTTAAGTACAGCATAATTCAATTGTTTATGTATATTTATACTTATATATTAACATACACTTTTTAAAATTAGTTTAAGCTAACGAGCGACTGAGTAAAATCCCGCAATTAAATTGTATAATTATTAATACTATTATTAATTGTCTAAGTATTTAAGAAACAAATGCCATAACACTATAGCTTTTAACTAAATTTTCATTTTATTTTATATGCTCACGCATATGCGCCTTGCAATAAGAGTTTTGGGTAAAGGTTTTCGGACAGTGCGGACACTTGTACGGCCGCTCTCCAGTATGGGTGCACATATGCACCTTGAGGTTGTAGGCTTTCAGGAAGGTGCGCGGACAGTGGGGGCACTTCAATGGTCGTTCGCTGGCATGGCCACGTAGATGGGCATTGAAATGCGAGTTCTGCGCAAAGGTTTTGGCACAATGCGGACACGCATATGGACGCTCGCCCGTATGGCTGCGCAGATGCTTCTTCAGATCGTGACTGACCTTGAAGCCCTTGGTGCAATAGGTGCATTGATAGGGCCGTTCGCCGGTGTGTCCACGTACGTGCACAATGAAATGTGAGTTTTGTGCAAATGTTTTGGGGCAATGCGGACATCTGTACGGCAGATCGCTGGCAACTTCCATGCCATGACTCTGCAGGTGCTTCTTACGATTCGAGTTGTTGGCAAATGTGCGCGGACAATGGGCGCACTTATATGGCCGTTCGCCGGAATGTTGTCGTATGTGTATCTTCAGGCCCGAGCTCTGGATAAATGTGCGCGTGCAGTGCGGGCATTTGTATGGCCGCTCACCCGTGTGGCCGCGCATGTGCACCGTCAGGTTGTACGACTGGGTGAAAGTCTTTGAGCAATGCTCGCATTTATACGGCCGATTGCCTGTCGTCTGCTTGCTTGAGTGTGTGTAGCATCTGTTGAATATAGGGTATGTTAAATTCGACTACCGAAACTTTGGTATTGGAAACTCACTTTTCGTGCAGGCGCAGCTCTTTTATGTCCTTGAACGTCTTGCTACAAACTTTGCATTTATAGCCTCGCTTTGAGCGCACGTTTACTAAAGTCTGTTCCTCCGGGGGCCTGCTCTCATCCGGTTCTATTTTGATGGGGCCCAGCATAATATTACTCTCAGCCAAATCACATTTACTATCAGACTTTTGTAAGGCACTGTATTCCGCTGTAGAACCTATTGCACCGCTGTCCTCCGCTCCGGGCTCCACTTTTATGCGGTCGGGAGCTATTAGCTCTGGCGTTTCGTCTGTTTTGCTGATAGACGGATCGTTTTTAGCTTTGGACTCGACTTGGGGTTGCTTCGGAAGGGATTCACTTAGCTCCTCCCGCTCTTTTTTGATACAGCTAATGTCTATGATTTCTTTATGCGCATTGTCTTTGTGGCTTTTTAAGCCCGATTTAGAGCCCATTTTGTTGCGATAGTTCTGCAAAATTTTAGCTCTATGAACATCTGAGTGTTTTTCCAGATCATTTTGCGTCAGAAAGCTCTGTGGGCAATATGGGCATCTGAATGGCAGCTCGTCCGTATGCTCGCTGTGCGTATACGCGTGGTTTAACAAATCGCTCCGCTTCATAAAGCCCCGTGGGCAGTATCGGCATCTGAATGGAAACTCGCCCGTATGCTCACAGACATGCGCTTTAAAGTTCGATTTGTGTGCAAAGCTATTGGGGCAGTGTGGACACTTGTAGGGCAGCTTATCGCTATGAATCTGAAGATGAATTTCCAGCTCGTAGCTCTTCGTAAAGCCACGCGGACACTGCGGGCACTGCAGTATACCTTTGCCCGTGTGTGTGCAAATTCTGGGGCACAACGGACATTTAAATGCATTTTTATCAATATGCGTGCGTCGATGCTTCTTGAGATCGCCGTATTTCAGGAAACCCTGCGGACAGTCCGGGCACTGATGCGGAAATTTGCCAGTATGTCCGTACATGTGCGTGGTGTAAATCGATTTGTGGGAAAAACTGCTCGGACAATAGACGCACTTGTAGGGCAATTTATCTGTGTGGATCTGCAGGTGTATTGTAAGCTCATCGCTTCTTTCGAAATGCCGTGGACAGTGTGGGCACTGATGCGGTCCCTTGGGCAGTCTGTAATCCCTGCGTGCAAGTAAACATTGTATTAGAACTTTACCAATTCTCCCAATTATATATCGCTTACTCCAGTGTTGCGGCAGGTCTTTGCTTTTTTCGCCGATCCCTTACGTTGCCAGCAGCTGCCTGTCCCTGACACACTGCAGTCGCATCCGGGTCTATTTTGATGGGTCCTATGTCCATCTCCGTAAAATTGCTTTCAGTTTTTAGCTGGTCACAGCTGGCGTCCTCTGAGACTGAATCCATTAGTAGCGTCTCCTGATCTTGCTCCAGCTTGATTTTCACACAGCTCACGTCCATTTTTGGAGCTCACGCACGAGAATATCGCAACCAGAGCAAAAAGTTAGTGAATTTTTACAATTTAAAAGGAAATTACCTAAAATAGCGTAAACATAAACAAATTCACGCACAGCAACAGCTGTTTGAGAGCTGCCAACCTGCTCGAAACGTATTACATTGCAATAACAGCGTAGAAGATGCCACAGAATGGCGCCTTATAAATATATTTATACAAATATGTTAATAATATGCGCGCACTAAATTTGTAATGCTTAAAGCAATTGTGGTGCGAAATAAAGACAATTTTATGAATACAATTAAATAAAATATATTAAAAATAAGCACAGATAACTCACGCTCAGCAGCAGCTGTGTTGCCACCTTAAATGTAATGTTAACATTTCAATTACAGCGTAGAAGAGGAAGCAGAATTGCGCCTTACAAATATATTTAAAATATGTGGGTAAACAATGTTAACAATGCTTAACGAATTTGTTGCACTAAATTAATGAAAATTAATTAATAAACTATAATAAAAAACATAAAATTTTTAATTTTTATTTTTGTAAGTCTTCTCAAATGTGCTTAAGAACAACTTTTAATTTGATGTAATCTTTTTTAGCAATATATATATTTTCTTTTTAACCAAAACTTGGTTTAAGCCCAAACCGGAACTGAATACATCTTTATATTATTTTCAGCGAAAATTGCCCATCTACTCCTCTTTGAATTAAAATCAAACACAGATATTTGTTGAAGCGCTCATTTAATCAACGTGTGTTTTGTTTGACTGTGTAGTGTGTAGTGTATTGTGTACAGCTTTCTGGCTTACATTTATTAGATTGAACATATTTACACTTGATTATAATTAAACATAAGCATTTGTAATTTGTTAAATATGTAAGTGTGCATTTACGTGTGCCGCCCTATACATGCAACTAATTAGCAAAACATTTGTACTTCAAACTGATTTGTTTTAGGTTTTTGTTTAAGATTGGGTTTTCTTTTCTTTTTTGTTAGCAACATACAACACTTAACGACTAAAAATATTAAATACATCCAGCTTTTCGTTTTTCGACTTAAGTATTTGGTTACAGTTTACGATATTTTTGTGTAAGGCACATGACACATTCCTGAATATGATGTGCGTTTATATATGTAGTATATATAGAAATTTAAGTTAAGAATCACTATGTATAAGCTACATATGGTTTATTGTTGGTACTAAATGAATTTGTGCGCAAAAACACAATTTTGCACATTGAAAGTCGGCTTTGTTTCAAATGTCACGCTACAAAGATTTTCTTCTGTTTAGTTTTTTGTTTTTTTTTTTTTTTTTGGAATCGTCAACTATTCCAAATGTTTACAATTAATGCATATGACCAGCAAATGACTAAAATCGCGTTGCGATTAGACCAAATAAATGTGTGCAATGGGCGTAGAATTTTCTGCGGAATTCGTACTTCGTACGGCGGCCAACGTCGGCTGCTTATATAGATCATGAGAGTTCGCCAATTGGTGCATTCTGCAGCCACAGATCGTGTATGAAATTGTACAGATTATCGCTGACGGCCACCTGAGGTGGGACCATGAAATAGAATGAAGTAAATTAGTAAAAGCAATTATAATGAATTGAATTTGGCCGACCTTGTAGGGCGTGGGGTTGAGCGTGCGCTTGTGATCATTGCGGAGCGTCTTCAGCGAGATTTGCACCTTCTCGCGCACCTGCTCCAGCGTCGGCAGCAGCTGGCATATTTTTCCCGCCTTCCAGTAGATCTTGTAGAGCGACTCAACGTGCGAGGGTATGACATAGGCGCGCTTGGACTCCTGAAATGGATGACGGCACAACACCTTCTGGCCGACAGCCGGCGGCATTTCCGAATCCTTTTGCAGCAGATCAATCAAAGCGTGTCCATCGGCGCTATACAAACGATAGGCGTTCTTATTGCCCGGCATGGTGACCTTCTCCACATCCTGACTGAGCTTAATGCGCGCCTGGCCGTTAATCTCCACCAGCTTGTAGACACAGCCCAAGGCCGGCTGTCGCTGGCAGGTAACTGAATAACAAATGCTTTTATTATTATTTCCATTTAATTTTCCATATTTATTTTAGTTACCCAAGTGAGTGCCAATGCCAAAGCAGTCGATCTTGTGACCCTGCTCATTCAAGCTGAGTATGGTATCCTCGTTGATGTCGTTGGAGGCGACAATGGTCAGCTTATTGAACCAGGGCACCTTGAAGTGTTCCGCCACCTTCTCAAAGGCCTCGCGCGCCAGGCAGGACAAATAGGCCAAATCGCCAGAGTCAATGCGTATGCCCAGCGCATGATAGCCCAGATCGTTGAGAGCCAGCGCCACGGCGCTAAAATTGAACAGTCCGCTCCTATAGAAAGCAACAGAAGGAGACAGAGAGCGCAGAGAGCGCAGAGAGAGAGAGAGAGAGAGGGGAGAGAGAGCAAAGTGAGCGTGCATTAAAACAAGGTGTCATAGAAAACAAGCAAAGGTGCAGCTTGGGATTTGGTTTTCAATTCAATTCAATATCTCTGGCTACCAAGTTCAAAGCGAGGCAGGTGCTACCAAAATGGGGGCGGTGTAATGTGGGCGTGGCACTGGTCTAGACAAGCTGCGGAGTGCGCATAGCGTGCGACCCTGAAGGCCAAGAGTATTACAAAATTATGCACTTTGCCAGGAGGAGGGGTGGGGGGAGGGGGAGGGAAGTGTACTATATAAGTCTAATTTGGGTTGGCTTAAACAAATTTGCGTTTTAATTTCTGAAGACACAAATCAAGCTTCAATTACTGAAAGCCATGCAGTGTGCTCTCTCGGACGCTTTTTCTTAAAAATGTAATTTGTAAAACTTAGCAGATATTTTTAGAAATATTTAAATGTGTTTAAACATAAACAAAACACGAGAAATCATTTAACAATAACAAAACAAATTGAGAAATCAATAGGTAAACAAAAACAAAAAAAAAAAAAAAAAATAAACACTTGTAAATCTCGATAATTATACGAAAAATAAATTAACAGACATATAGAGTATATATTATGTATGTAGTATGGGCAACATTAAGGTGATTCAGTGTGTGTTTTCGCAGCTGAAATCGGTTCGGTAACATTGTTAAAAGTACATTTCATATATGTGTGAGTGTTATGATTATGCAAATTCGTGTATAGTATGTGGCGTATTTTGTAGTTGTTTTTTATTCTTTTTTTTTTTGTATTTTGTATTTTGTATTTTGAAGACGTGTTTTACATACCTCTGCCAAAATAGTGCCGGGAAGTCATTTTTACTATGTTAGATATGGTTTTTTTTTTTTATATGTATATATATTTTTGTGTAGGCTTCTCTGATTATTTTTTGATTCGTTTAATGTCACAATTCAAGAAGAGTAAAAAATGTTGTATTTTAATTAAATGAAAATGGTAAAAGAAATGTAAATGTAAGTGAACCAGTTGGTTAGTTATGTTAAAAGCTTTGCTAAATAAAAAAAGTAGGTAGAATAAGTGGCCCAGTATTCACCTCTAGAGAAATCATAGGCAGAAAAAGAAATTGTGTCTTGAATTAACAGCTTCACATTAACATGTTTATGTGCTGTTAGCTTTAAAATTAATTAATGTTATGTTAACTTGACAAATTATTTACTTTGCTGCACATTAACACAATTATGTTATGTTAAATGTGTGTAAGTAAATGACGCGCTGTTAACGTAACGTTAAGAATTCAGAACATTGTCTTGGGTTCACATAATGCTGTTATAAGCAGAGCTGTTAACTCAATTTTAACAGTGAATGTTTTGTATTGCACAAAAAAAAAAACTTTTTAAAGTAAATAAAGGACATAAGTAAAGGAACAGTCGAAAATAAATAAGAAAGGATTATAAAAATTGAGTAAAATACAAAGTAGAGGGCACATCACCTGTTTTGCATATTGAGCTCGCCTAATTGTGTTAGCAATACCGTTAGCCTGGGCTTAGGCCAATACATGTAGCACATACATACATATATAAATAGTGTTACATATGTGTATATATGCATAATTTTAGAATTTTTTTTTTTTGATACAGCGCATGATATGACATTTCATGTGAGTGTGTGTGTGTGTGTGTAGTAGTAGGGGCACTCATGCTAGCCCCAGTTAACGAAAACAGAAAAACATGTGTATTAGTTAGAAAAATAAAGCTTGAAGTTTAGTTAGTTAAAAAATCAATGTAAGAAATGGAAAACAATTAACGCAGAAATAATGGCAATGAGTTTTGGTTTTTAATTTGTTTTTTTTTTTTTGGTTTAATATTATTGTTGTTCCAGTTAAATTGAATGTTTCGGTACGTGACATTTACCTGAATGACTTCTCGACATATTTTGGTAGGTACGCCGCCCCATTGGACGATGAGGTGCTGATTGTTGGAGTTCTTGTTGTTGTTGTTGTTGTTGTTGCAGTTGCTTCTGCTGTTGTTGCAGTTGCAGTTGCAGTTGGAGTTGGAGTTGCAGAGGCTGTTTCTGTTATTGTTGGCTCTGTGAGCTGTTTGTTGGAGAACCCATTCAAATGATTCAAATGGTGCTCATTGATCTGGCCATTGATCTTGTGTCCATTGCTTTGACCATTTTGGGCATGGGGCGTGGCTGGTGGCGTTGGAGGGGCATTGCCAATGCCATTCGTTGGCTGACTAGTTCTTGATTTGATATCAGTTTGTACGTATGAGACTTGTGTGACTTGTTCTGTTTCTCGGCTGTTGGGAATACTTGAATTATTACAAACTTGCGACGAAAACAAAGCAGCGCACAAAATGAAACTAACTCATAAATCGAGGATATTACGGGCAGGGGGCGGTTACGGGTACAGGTACGGTGGGCGTGGTCATTACAGAACAAGACATGACACATTATATATGTTATATATACGACTAAGTTAGGATTAAAAACTGCTCTTGTTGCTGTTACTTGTAGCTGCTTAAAACTGTTGAATTAATTTGGTGCACGCTGTCAAATACTTGATTGATTTGTAAAGTTTCGACACACAAAAGTAAATAATAAACGAAAAAAAAAACAACATTTAACTAAAACGAATACTGAATATACATAACCAAAAACCGTTCCGAGAGAATCTGCCTAAAAGCGAAATACCTCTTAACATCGTACGTGTCGACAAGAGCCATAAAGCCGTCCGGAAAGGCGATCGCATACGAGACCATCGCCGCCAATTCACCCTCGCTGGACTCCTCCGTGGATACATCGAGGACATGCGACAACAATTGTCGATGCCGTATGGCATGCTCCAGCAGATCCTCCATAACACCTGTTCAGCAATTGGATATTATTTTTGATTTGTCTTATTTTTATATATTTGGGCACTCACCCGTTTGCTTGTGCTTGAGCAGACGCGTCTTCAGCTCACCCACGCTGCTGAAGCTCGTGATATAGGCATGAGCATGAGTGCCCTTGACGGGTATGTTAAAGAGTTTACCAGCCAGCACATTGGAGGTGCCATCGAAGCCGCCTGGAAATGGAAAAGAGACTTAATTAGCTGTCTATAGTCGAGTAATCATATATATAAACTGTTAAATTTCCTTTAACATTTGACTATCTGTTATTAACATCAGCTGTTATGTTGTGATGCATGTAACTTTAACAGAAGCTCTAATTTACATATGACTGCTATGTTAAGGTTTAATATTATTTAAATAGTTCCCTTTATATAAATTTAAATTGAAGTCCATTTGATAGCAAAAATCCGGCTCTGCTGCGTAATGGTTGGCCATAAAAATTAGAAGCCTTATAAAACCTTGGTGCCAGGTGGACGCGCACGCGAATATATCGATTGAGAATCAAGTAAAAACCCAGATCCAACGTATTATAACTAAACGCATTACAAAGTTAAAGTTTTTATTGTTGCAGCCAACAAGTTTTTGGGGCGAAAGGGTAACACAAAGTTACGATGTGTGAGCGCCAATTGAAATTTACCGTGCCAGTCGGCGTCTGGTACGGATAGCGACCCACACATGAGCAGGCGGCGAAAAGTTTTTACCTTTTTTTCAGTTTTTGTTTTTTGTTGGGGCCTGCGGCATTGCGTGTGCCACCCACTTTTAACACATACAACATGGAGAGTTCTTGAACTTTACAGACGGAGATATGGTAGAAGAATAAAGCGCGCCACCCGCTGGGCGTAACAAGGCTGGAGCCCACATCAAGTGACAGTGACACGTGCTTTGCATGCAAGCACATCATAAAAGACCAGAACAAACTATATGAAACATTGACGACTGACGACTGACGACTATCCATGTCCCAAGTTCCGCTGCATCGATCAATGCGAAGGCAAAAAATGAGGCAATGTTCCATGTGGGGAGCTGGTTTCACGGCGTTTTTTGGGCCTGTCTTTTAATTGATTACGAGCCAGGTGCATGCAATTTGGCAATGCCGAAAAAGAATATAAATATATATATTTATATGGCACACGTTTGACCTTAGTTGTCACGGCAAAATCGTCGTAGTTTCTGTACCTGTATAGGAATACTTTGATGCGGATAGTCCTCCGTCCGGTCCCTGCGCTCGACGCAGCCCAAACTCCAGCAGTTTAACGTGTTTGCCAGCCACCATGCGATAGCGCGCTGCATTTGTCGCCATTAAACTGGGCAATAAAGTAAAATTATTAAGAGATTCCTATATAGATATCACTGTTCACTCACCTGGCATAGTTCACGAGCGTGAGCAGCGTTGTCTCCAGAAGTTGTACAATTATCAAGGGTCCTTCAAGCTTTATGATGGGCACGCTGTATCATAGAAAATATGAGTGTGCGAAAAGGAAGATTTATTTATAAAACAAAAAAAAAAAAACAAACAAGATTCATGATAATTCTATATCTTATGTCTGGTCTAAGCTGGATATCAGATTTATAAGTATCACAGTTTGAAAATGATTTAAACACCAAAAATAACAAAGTTTTGATGCTTTAACATGCATGTTATGAATTCAACAGACATGTTAAGAACTTAACAGTCATGTTAAGAGCGCCTTTTAACTTAAGCTAAACCTAAAAACCAACCTTATCGATCAACTCACCGGGGAAATGCCACAGTACCCTCATCAATGGCATAAAGCGTTACATCATGAGCTGTCAAATTGCCCAAATACTCAAAGAACTCATTCTCAATGCCCTCGGGCAGTGTTTGCCGCAGGTATTCAATATCTGTGAGGAAACATTTGAATATAGAATGAGGCATGATATATTGATAAACTTACCGCTCTGCGAGTAATGAAAGCTATCTAAAAACTTGAGGCACTCCTCTAGGCCGGCAAAAATGGTAAATTCGCCATGGAATGGATTGTTGCGAAAGAAGAGATCAAAGACCGCCTGATCGTCCGTTTTGCCCGACTTCCAGTAGGCATAGGCCATTGTTATTTGATATAAATCTGCGTTAGGACAAATAAGAGAGATAAAGCCGATAAGCAAATACACACACCTGACGATTATCAAAATGATATGATGCTTAATCATTATACGAGTGGTTAAATCCAGCTCGGGCGATAAGATACGATCAAAGTTCACATCTCGCATGCATAATTGCAGGCCTCACCATACAAACACGCCACAATTCAATGCAAATTCTTATCTTAATTTGCAAACACAAAAAACTCAAAGATCATCCACTTACATGTCTATATATATATACATATATTCTTTCCGCATGGCCAGAAATAGAATAAGACTAAAAATGTAAATGTCAAGCGGGAGCTTGAACTAATTTAAATTGTCTATTCGAATGCGTGTGGAAACGCTATCAGTTCAATGAAAAACCAACTGCAATTTTGTTTTTAAATCTTTGTTAAAATTTTTCCAGAATTTCAGAAATATCAACTTCCGTTTCTATGTATGTGCATATTATGTTAAAATTTATTTGTGCTTTCCTTTGCTTTTATTTTGAAGCATCCTCCTAAGATCATTTGCATATCGCAGTGAATCACGAATTTTTAAGGTACGTGATGAATTGTGGCATTTACTTGGATGATGATAAAACTTTTTATTTTTACTTCTATATTCTATATTTTTACTTGGAAGCATGAGTATCCCTTGCTTTTTACTCCAATCTTAAGAGTATTTATTTTAAGAGCTCGACATCGTTCAATAAGAAAAAGCCTTTTTACGCTTGATAATACGTTTTCTTACAGCTCGAATATAATCAATATATTAATATTATTAGCGCTAGACCTGATCTATTTTAACGCTTGATAATACGTTTTCTTATAACTTCAACCTTAGCAGTATTTTCGTATTCTAATAGGCTGTCCGTATCCAATAATAAAATGATCTATTTTTAAGTCAAGGTCAGACCTAGGTTTAAGAAATCTTGCCTTTGATGGTATTAGAAATCTATTTGAAATCTGAATCTTCTATTTCTTCATTCGTTAATAATTTATTATTAATATTGTGACGTAGTTTCTCGAATAATTATTACTTAAATATAAGATATTTATCTCCTTCCTAATGCTTAGATTCCAAAGAACATTCTGATTAATGGAGACCATTTTTTTGATGGCCCTTTCTTATTCCTGGACATTTTTATTTCTAGACACTTTTATTTCCGTGCGATCATTGCTTAAATTGTTTTTATAATATTAATATTTTAATATTTTAAACTCTATATTATTATTTAAATTTATTATAAGCGTGCTACGCAGTAAACAATCGGATTACTATAAAATGAAAGATACTTTAGCTCTTATCTCTAGATCTTATAGGCATAGACGGCCAGTCAGACATCGATTCTGCTCTTGATGCTGATCAAGAATATATATACTTTATGTGGTCGGAGATGCTCTCTTCTGCCTGTCACATATATTAGCACAAATAAATTATACCCTTTTTAGTCATCTTCAATGGGTTCAGGGTATAAAAAAAACTGGATTAAGTTACATAGAAACTCTTATTGAAATCTTTTATAACATTTTTGATATTTTTGTAAATTTTAGGAGGTAAGTTTCCCAGATTTTTGCAAATAGTACCTACCGGTAAGCAGAGGCTGGACAACGCCATTCTGATTCATGCGTCCGCGATCCATAAATTGGCCGCCCGAATTGCAGCTAATTTCACGGTCGTTCATGATCACAACTGTTGTTGTTGTTGTTGTTGTTGTTTTTGTTGTTTATAACGCACTAACTGACACGTTTATAGGTCGTTTACACACACACGCACACACAGAGAGCGTGCCAAATAAATAAGATTTAATTAATATTCTTTGCAATTTAATCCAAAAAGTCGTTGAACTTTTTCTGCTAAGTATATGTAGCTTGTAGTCTTATATATATTTATATTGTATATATATATATATATATATGTATTTATGTATCTGTAAGATTCAAATTAGGCGCATTAAATTTGTTGTTGTTGCTTTTTGAGCGACGCTTTAAATGACGTAAGCGGCATGCGTTGGAAATTAAGTGAAGCGCACCCTGTATGGAAATACTGGGTTAATTAAATGCAAAAATTAGAAAGAAAAAAAAATTGAAATTTAAGAAAATCAAAATGCACACATTCAAATTTGCATACGTCTGTGTTATCAGTCGGGCTTTTTATCACTGTGAGAGGGCGACAGGCACTGGGTCAGCGCGAACGATAATGATAATGGTCGCTGTCAACACTTTTAGAATTTCAATTTTGTTATTCTCTTTTATTTTGGGATTTATCGCGCAAGCAAAACGTTTTCGCTAAGCGTTTCGAGCTCAACTAAAATGTACGGAACTGAGCTGCGAGCGAGCGAGTTGAAATTCTGCTGCGAGCAGAGCGAAGCGGGCAGAGCGCGCGCGATATGCGTTTGCTGGGATGCAGCTATAAAGTGTGACAAGAAATTTGTCTGCTGGGTGAATTTGTTGATTGTTGTTACTTAGCAGCCGGCCAGAGCGAGAGGGGCAGACAGCGTGAGCGGGCACGGGCCAGACCGTTTGGTCTGGGAGCGTAAAAAGAAGAGCGAGAAAGGCATATAGGGATATGGGGCTTGGCGGGCTGTGCACTGGGTTTGTTTATTTCGGCTGCTGTCCGCTGTCGTCTGCTGCTGATTCTATTGATTACACACGTGAGGCGCTGCTAATGTCGTCATTGGACCCCAACGTGTTGCACACAGTCATTGAAGTCAGTGAAGGTTGCCTGAAGGTCGGCGGGGCGTTCTCTCACACACACCCAATCCGCGCGGGCAAGTCAAGAGGCGTACTCAAAGAAAAAAAAAACAAGAAAAAACACTTTTTTCCGTGTGTACATTTTTGCACTCATTGTTTGTGTTTTAATAGCAGCAGCTGCTGCAATATGCAACACTCACTTTCCCTTTCAGTGCACGTTTCAATTCATAATTTATAAATTTGCGGGCGCTGCTTTTTTCAGAATGCGCATAGAACGCAGCAGATGTGCACAACAGTGTTTAATTCACTGTTTACATTCACACATTTAGCTAATTATATTTATCAATATGCTCAAGCATACGCGACAACACGATTTGTTTAATTTTTGAATGTTAATAAACTTTAAAAGTTAAAATAACGCAACTAAACAAATCAGTATGCGACTTGCAAGCGCTCTCAGCTGATAAGAGAGCGGGGCTGCCAACTTGATGACATGCGCTTCTACAGGTCAGGTTGAGCAGTGCGCTACTTTACTCTCCACTGTGACGTCACAGCTGTTAAGTTTAGTATGCGGGTCTTGCACGAAATGCTTTAATAAAATGAACTTTTATTTATTTTCGCAAACATGTACTTTCAATTGATTTTTATTTTCTTAATAGCAACTAAAAACCTCAGTAAAAAATAATCATAGTATTAAGATTTCACGAATTTCTCTACATAATTAACATGTAATTTTTTTGCCAATGGCGTATTAATGAACTATTCGATTTGGTGACGTCACGCTATGGCGTGTAAATTTGCATTTCATGCCATTTAACGCAACTGCGCGAGACGCAACCCCCAATGTGAATGTGAACCAGTGTTGTAAGAATTCACAAAAATTAAAACAAAACAGCCGTTTATTCAGTTTCCGCATTATTTACATCCGCTGGCCAATCCAGGTCTATGCCAGCCACGTCCAACGCCAATATGTCAATGGGTTTGCCTATAATTGAGGATATGGATGGCGTTGTGCGTCCAAATTCGCCATGCACCAGCTCCTTAATATAAGTGCCCGCCTGGCTGACCACATCAATAATCAGCAAGCGCGGATTATCACGAAATACGCGCGTTTTCACACTGAATATTGTGCGGGGTCGGGTGTGGAGTGGCCGGCGATGCAAAACACGAATGGGCGTCTTCTGGTGTATATCGAAGCTCTCCGATATTTGCAACTTTTGCAGAATATCCAACGTAACCGGCTGCTCCAGCACGCACAAGGCGCAATAATACTTTCGCTTTTGCTCTTCGCCAGTTTTAATGTGTGTCAGCTGCTCGCGCGGCACCACCTGCAGATTGTGTATGGACACCTTGCCGGTACGGTCCACCGCCTGTTCCATTTGATGGGCCTGCTGGCGGGTCATGCTACTCCGCCGAGCATTGGCTATTTCCAGCACAAAGGGACGCCCTTTGCCCAGACAGCGCACATCGACATCCTCACGGCCACTCGACATGAACGTAATCTTCTCCAGAGTCTCGCTGAAATGCGGCCCCACATGCCCTACAATTATCTCCTCAATGCTCTCCTCCATAATGCGCTTCCCGTGCAGCACCCAAGGCGTGTGCGAGAGCTCTCGACTCAGCTTGCGGTAGCGCCCGGCCACGCAGATCAAGGGACCCGTCAGCTCGATAGCCTGCAGCTGCAGTGCGTCCTCGACGGCGGTCGGTGGTATGGGCAAGTATTTCTCGAAAAGTTCGGCTTTTATGCGCGCCGGCTGATATTGTTTCTCCAGCAGACCACGTGAGATTTCGATGCGTTTCTGGTGTGCCGCCTTGGCGGGAAATGCCGCCCTGTTCAGCTCCGCCAGCTTGGCCACTTCCGCCGCCTCCACGCTGTGCCGCACATCGATGTTGATCATCAGTCCATTGGCATCGTATTCCTTGCCCAGCTTGGCACACACTATGGGATGCAGAATCAATTTCACCGCCTCCTTGATGGGCACATCCGGTGGAGAGTTGTCGTCCACGGCGCTGCGGCCAAATTGACGCTGCAGCGCAAACCACATGGAAAGCTGACGCAGCTGCAGCGACATGGGCAGGCTAATGGCCAGGACAATGCCCTCGCTATCATAATTGGCAAAATCGGATTTTAGAATTCCTTCAATTAGTTGAGTTTGAAATTCTTCCGAGAAGAGACCCAAGCAGGTGGAGCAAATGCTTAAGCGCGGCTTCTTTGGCGGCTGCTCATCGGGCGTGTCCTGGGCCACAGCACTTACCGACACTTCAACATCCAGCTAGAATTAAGATCGTCTATATTTTTTGATAAGCCGCTCGGTTTTGATTTTTTTTTTGCTCACGTGCTTAAATGTTTGCTGCATGTCACGATATTCGTTGCCGCGCGCTTTTAAATAACGAAGTTGACACACGCGGCAGACGCCACAGGCCGCCAAGTAATCAATCAATTCCTGATTTTTCATATTATCGTAATAGTTAATGCAATAAAATGAAATTAGAAGATCAAAAACTCAAGCTTTAAGATGTCAACAAAACGTGCAACCAAAGCAACGTTTGTCAACACTGTTTAATATGATACACTCGATTAATTTGCTGTGCAACTAGCTACAACCTATCGACAGCTGCTTTGCCAGTGTGACCAACTGTGCTGCTACAATTTATCGGCCGTCTATTGTCAAATATTTCCATTTTTCATTTGATTGGAATTTAAGGTGCGTTTCAGCTGTTGTAAGCCTCTTATTCTGCGTAATAGCTACCAAAGTGCAGCTTGAACAGCAACAAATGACTTAAGTTGGTGTTAAGGCCCAGCTAAAAGCATTGTTATTGTTACGTCACAGAACGACGAACTGGCCGTCACATACTCCAATTGAAAAGCACAAATAATACAAATATATTGTGTTTTAGCAGCTGCATCCGAAATGTCGCTGACGCCTTTCCTGCGCCTGCCACTCACCGATTTGACCGGTTGTCTGATCAATCATCAAACCTACGACAAATGCGGCAAGTTCGAAATGAAAATGATGGACTGCCTGGAGGCCTACGGGCTGGAGCGCGGCAAAACGCAGTGCTCTGAACTGATTGGTGACTTTCAGGAGTGCGTAGGCATGCAGAAGCAGTTACTCCGCTTCCATGTAAACTCATCTTTTTAAATCTTTTAAGTTCAACTGTTTATTGAGTATTGTTATTTGCAGGCCATGCGAAACGAACGCTACAGGCAGTGGCTAGCCGGTGAGCGCAAGCGGGAGGACCTGTTTGCGGAGCCACCACGCGTAGATGCATATTAAGGAGCTCACAGTTGGGAATAATTGCATATGTATAGCTGAAATATGTTTTAAATAAAAAAATATGATGTACAAATTAGGATATTTTATTTAGTTGTTTTTGCTTATGGTATTTTGCAAGTGTTGGTTAAGTTGCGCTTTGCAACACTAAGCTACAAGCGAGTTGGCAGCGCTAGCATTTGTTTTTGCGGCCGAAAATCTGCTTGCATACGTTTAGTTAAATTTATAAATAAAATGGGTACAAAACGTCCAAATAATAGTGTGGTGCTGGCGCAGGAGCCCAAGCGCAGCAAAAATGACATTATGGCGTATACCAATCGTGACAAGGCACTGCTGGAATCGGTAAGAAAGCGTCGTGCCGCTGGCTGAAGAAGAAGCATGCTTGGTGTGGGCCTTTTTTATACCCTTGCAGAGAGGGTATTATAATTTTGCTACGTATTGTGTAACACCAACCATAACATGTGTGTGTCCTATATCATAAGGTTGCCATAGGAATAATTTAAAAACAAACAATTTTTGTTTGTAAAGAATAGATATATTCGGCACATTCGATATGCTTGTCTGCAAGGGTATTTAAACATCGATAAAGCCAGCTCATCTTATTGTTATTAACAATTATAATATGATTGCAGGGCGTGCGGCGCACTTCCAATCTGCAAGCGCCCATCATGCAGCTGGAGGGACACGAGGGCGAAATATTTACCACAGAATTCCATCCGGAGGGTGAGATGCTGCTCTCCTCGGGCTTCGATAGGCAGCTGTGTAAGTGGGCAAACCACATCGCAGATGTTTCTTGGTCTAATCTTTTCTTTTGTTTAGATATCTGGCAGGTGTATGGTGATTGTGAGAACATTATGGCCATGTCCGGACACAGCGGGGCCGTAATGGAGGCGCATTTTACGCCCGATGGCTCGCACATATTCACCTGCTCCACAGACAAAACGCTGGCCATTTGGGACATTGTGACGGGTCAGCGCGTGCGACGGCTCAAAGGGCATTCGAACTTTGTGAACAGCGTGCAGGGATCACGACGTGGCCAGCAGCTGCTGTGCTCCGGCAGCGATGATCGCACCATACGCATCTGGGATGCACGCAAAAAGCAGGCGGCCCACGTGCTGGAATCGCCCTATCAGCTGACGGCCGTTTGCTTCGGCGATACCAGCGAACAGGTCATCAGCGGCGGCATTGACAATGAGCTCAAGATCTGGGACATACGCAAACAGCAGGTGCTGCATCATTTGCGTGGACACACGGACACCATAACGGCCGTTGCACTGTCCCCGGAGGGTGACTTTGTGCTCACGAATGCCATGGATAATACGCTGCGTGTGTGGGATGTGCGTGCCTATGCGCCGGGCGAGCGTTGCGTCAAGGTATTCCAGGGGCATCAGCATAATTTTGAGAAGAATCTATTGCGTTGCGCCTGGTCACCGGGCGGCGATAAGATCAGCGCCGGTTCAGCCGATCGTCATGTCTACGTTTGGGATGTGAACACCAGGCGAATACTGTACAAGCTGCCCGGACACAATGGCAGCGTGAACGATGTCGATTTCAGTCCGCGTGAACCATTGATACTGTCCGGGTCCAGCGATAAGACACTGTATCTGGGCGAAATAGAGGACTAGTCGTAGTATCACAAATAAGTTTTATTTCTGCATTATCATAACGATTAATAAATAATTTGTATAATTTGAAATATATGGTTTTTGTACACAGTTTAGACGGGCAGCGCACTGGACGAACTGGAGACGCTGCTCTTGAAAAGCTGGCCAAAGAACTTGAGGCCTGTCGCCCCGCCGGGCACCATGCCCAGCAGCATGAACAGCAATGTGATTATCTGCGCCACAGCGAACAATACCGTAAATGCTGTGCTCTTCGCCACCAGCGCAAAGTACAGGGTCAGCGTGAGGCAGGCACTGTACGAGAGGGACGTGGCCAGTCGGGGCCTGGAGAACATTTGCTTGAAGAACGCCTGAAAGCCGATCAGAAAGCAAAAGCTGAGAATGAAGAAGAGGCTGCCGAGCGTAAAGAGCAGCGCAAACTTTGGCTTGAGCATCAGCACCGGAATGTAGAGCGTGGAAAGGGTCATGCACAGGCAGCCCATGCCCAGGCAGGCGACAAAGCCAACAATGCGCTGCAGACGTGACTGTAATGGGAATTATAAACACAATAATGCATTTAATAACAACAATCAAATGATACTGTTGGCTGCACCACCCACCAGCTTGGGGCAGCAGGAGTCTTGGGTATCCTTCAACCAACTGTTTGCCTCGGGCGGTTCGCTTGTGCGCGAAAAGATCTGCCCCAGGCCTGGCACCTTTATCTGCGGCAGCTTGACATTGAAATTCTTTTTCTGATCGCTCTGCAGCAGTAGATATTCATCTAGATCCTGCTTTAAATTGCTCATTCTCTTCAGCGGTTGACCAAATGCCACCGCATAAATATTTCTAATAATCGTAATTGTTTTTTTTTGTTTACTGCCAACCCGACAATCAGTTGTCTGTGCATAAGGTTGGCAGCGCTGCCAGTGCTGTAAAGTGTACGCATAAGTGCCGCTTTGCTTTGAAAATCAAATGTCCGATCGTCGAGTATAATGTTTTGTTCATTGTAAATGACATAGTTAAAATAATTAACTATTTTCTTTTTAACTTAAAAGGTACGGGTGTGCACGTATACATTTATATAATCAATTATTATGCCTCTTCTTAGACAACACAACCATTTTATATTTTTAATTAACTGTAGGATTAAAAAGCGCCTGACGTCACAAATTAAATAACACACAGCACTCTTGTAGAGCTGCCAACCTTGTTCATACGGGAAATGTACAATTTCTGCCCCTTAAAAACTGCTGGCGTTGCCACACGTTCGTGAATGCCAGCCCTCACTCATTCAAATCTGGCAACTCGCTTATTCTTTCAGTTTCAGTTGAATTTTTGTCGTGGTTGGTTCGTTGTCGCTGCGCGCGCGGCAAATATGTAATTAAACTGAAATAAATTACAAGCAAAAATTAATAATATTCAAGACGCCGAACACACGCAAAAATTATTTTAAAAATAATTAATTAATTCGTAAAATAATTAAATAACACAAATCGCACTCCCCTGCTGCCCCCCGCCCCCATACAAAACGTCGCGATTCCATGCAAACGGCTCGGGCTCTTCTATTTATGCAAATTGTGTAAATGCATATGTGAGAGTGTGTGCGGCATCGGAGCGTACGCGCGCTAGTGTGTCGCCTGTGTGTGTGAGTACGTGCGTAAGTTTATGCATGTGTGTGCGAGTGGGCAATTGTGTTTATGTGCGAAAACGCATTAAAATCACAAATACAAATGCGAATGCAAATACAACAACAAAAGTAAATACAAATAGAAATACAATCAAACACAAACAAAAACAATACGTAAAAGCTGCCGCTGCAGCAAATTGAATGAAAAGCCAAAAAGTATTTCAAATGCAATCTAAATACAAATAATTCTAATACAAAATTGAGAATTAAATTTTTTATTGTTTTTTGCGCAAAATTAAAAAAATATGCATTTGTGTTGGGTTTTTTGTTGTTGAATCGAATTCACCAAATTGCCCAAATTCCGAGTGAAAAACGCGAATTAATGAAAATATTTTGACTCCCGGCTCGAGATCGCATCGAACATTAAAACGGGATCGTTTGGAGGTTTTTGAAATATAAATTATGCTAAAATTTCGAATACAGTCCAAAACGGTTTGGAATTAAGCGACGATCGCCAACTGGAAATGGTGTAAGTATAGAAACTGAAAAGGCAGCTGCTTTCCAGAAAGCAGTAAAAATAAGCTAAAAAATACTTTTTATTTTGAGCTGTACAATTTTATTATTAATTTTAAAAAATTCTAATACGATTCTGTATTTATTTTATTTACAGCTCTCAACGCTATTGGTAAGGAAACAAATCAGCGACTGGAATGAAAATTAAGTGTGTTATATGCAAAATATAATATATAAAAAAAAAATAATAACGAGGTGAATTGGCAATTGCAAATGGAAAGTGTTGCAAAGTGTTTAAAAAGAAAAGCAAGTGTTTAAAAAAAGAGTCCAAACTAAATTTAAAAGCGGCCTCACAAAGTTTATATTAATTTCCTTAATTAAACAAAGAGCACAACTAAAGCTATACAAATATATATATGTATATATATATAACAAAAATGTGTGTACATATGTGTGCATACGCCCAGGACTCGATTCGCTGGTTTTCTAGAGCCGATCTACAAAGCTGCGCAGCACAAAGAAAAATGGCACAACGATTGAGACAGAGGCAGCTCCAGTTTGGGGCCTAGGGGCGCTGCTGCTGCGGTCGCTGCCGCCGTCGTCGTCGCAGAAGCGGCAGCAACAGCAATTAACTCGAAAGCAAAGAATTTCATCAGAAATTCAAAGCACATAAGGCGAACGGATGACGTGCAACGGGCTGAAAAATAACGAGGCGGGCGCTAGCAGCAGTAGCTAGCGACGGCAGCGACGCTTACAGCGGCTACAGCAGCGACAGCGACGTTAAAATTGTTGTAGCAAAAATCCAGGCTGACAGCTCCCCCTCAACGAGTTGGTAGCAAAAACAACAACGAAAAGTAACATGGCGCTGCCTGTGCATATGTATGCATGTGTGTATGTGTGTTTGAGCCCCAACAGCGAACAACGCAAATAAAGTGGTGAGAGCGAGCGCGCAAATAAGTACTAGCGTGTGTGCGTGCAAGCGAGATGGCGCTTAAACATGGAGAGAAATTGTCGTGTCGCGTTTTGCTGTAGCGTCGTTGTCGCTCGTCGTCGTCGACGTCGACGTTGTCGTTTGTCGCTCGTTGAAAAATCGATTCAGCTGCACGAAACGAGAACGCGCGCGTGCAAGCGAGAGGTTCAATCATGGGCTGTGAGTGCGAGCGAGCTGCCGGATGCAGTAAAAACAAAAAAACCTTTATTTAACCCGTTTCGTGTGCGTGCGCGTGCGCCTGTAGAGGTGTATGTGTGTGTGTCTGCTGGTAGAAACTACGTTGTACGACAAAAACTACAAAAGTTTTCTGTATTGTTGTTGGGCGTTGGAAGCGTCGCGGCGTGTGGTGGCATCCGCTGCCGCCCCGCTTGTTTTTCCCCCCTCTGAGACAACATTGCAAATGCGGTCGTCGCACGACTATACAACTGTAGTGTGTGTGTGCATGTGTAAGTGTGTTGGTGTGTGGTCACGTAGCAGCGCTACAAAAATGACTGCATAGTTCGCTGACTACAAAAGATGAAGAAGAATAAGCAGAAAACTGGTTTGGTTGCTTCTTCTTCTGGCCGAGCAGCGGCAGCGACAGCAGCAGCTGCTCGCATATTAATGAAATTCGAATTCTAGCCAAAGCAGCCTCTTAATGGGATTTTGCAAAATGCTATCTATAAATGGTCACAGTGTTTAGCCATAAACGTCGTAGTTGCTGTAATATTTAAGCCAAATACGTTTTCAAATGGCCAAAAACAAAATGGCCGCCGGGCTATGTAGAAAGACAAAAATACGCATCGAACAAACGCAAAAAAGGTGGACTGAGGGACAGACGAGACGAGAGAGACGCACGGTTTGAACAGAATATGTATTTTGTTTCGTTTAGTTGTTGTTATTCTGGTTTCTTTTCTTTTTTGATTATAAGTGTATTTTCAAATTCTTTGGTATAGATTTTTGCACACGTCGACAGAGGCGCAAAAAAAGCGCAAGCCCACAGCAGTAGCAGCAACAACAAAAATTATATAGCGATTTGAACCGCACCCCACCAGGCATGCAAAGCGACTGATGCGCAGCAGCGGCGTTTTAGTACAGCCAGGCAGCACCAAAAAACTTTCACGATCGATTGGCAGCTCCAACGACGACGTCGGCAGCAGCAGCGGCAGCCACAGCAATGGCTGCCGCCATAAGCTCTCCAACTGGGGCCTCTCTCTGTGTGTGAGTGCGAATGCAAGAGCGATAGCGCTTTGTATGTGCGTGTAAGCGAGATAGCATTCAACGCCCGCTAGCGGCTGCGCGTTTTGTACAGGCAGCGCACACATGCAAGCAAACACACATAATGTAGGTTTAGCACACACACACACACACACACAAACACATGCACATAAAGTATATTTATGGGCTTCATTTTGCGTGTAGTTGTGATTTCCTGCTGCGCCCCAAAATGTACAAAGGGCCCCAAAAACGTAGCAAATGGCAACAACAGCAAATACAATGGCAGCTACAAAACTACATTTTATGCATGGCCATATCACAACGTCGTCATCTACGACGTTGGTAGCGGGTTACTCGGGGTACGTAATGGCTGAAAAACGTGAAATAACAACGCGCGTTCCCAAAGCACCCCTCGCGACTCACACACACACACACACACACATACACCAGCATACTGTATATACACATGACTACATAACCATTTATAAATACACAGCAGCAGCGACGAACAACAACAATAATGACGAACGGCAAAAACAAACTCACAGAAGATACTCGTTTTTCCATGCCATGCCCAGGCAGAGGCAGCAGCACAAAAAGTACCAGCTATAAATTCTTTATGTACATAAAAGTACATAACATACACACACACATAAACTTACACGTATGTATGTATTGCGTGTGTGCGCTGAAGCAGCAACAACGGGCCATTAAAACCTGTCCTTCTATCTCGCTCGCACAACAGGCACCCCACTTTGCGCTATATATATATATATATATATATATATGTTTGTGTTTTTTTTTATGTGTGTGAGTAGCTATAACAACCACGTCAGACAGCGTTGGCAGCGGCAGCAGCGCAGCAGTTCAGTGCAAACGTCAATTATAAGCAAACACACAAATGGCAACGTTGCCATACTTCACAGCACACACATACGCTACGCAGCGTGCACAAGACAGGGAGAGAGTAACGCGTTAGTTAGCCAGAGTGAGTGAGACAGAGAGGCGCAGCAGCGGCAACAACGTTGCCAAACTTCACGCCATCAACAAAAGGCAGGCAGCAGCTCGATAGCGGCCGGGGCAGAAAGCATGAATGTTGTTCTTGTATTTCCATGTTGCCTGCTTTTTGGAATTTTAACATGCGCCCCGCTTGGCTTGGCTCGGGCTGGATTTCTTTTTTTTTTTTTTTTCTCTTATTTTCGTTTTTGGCCGGTTTGTGGATTGATGGCGTTGTGGTTCTCTTGGACCTGGTCCCGGCCCCGGTCCGGCTGCCTGCTTTTGTAACGTTGACTGGATTATAATAACGTGCTGTCGACGTCGCTGCTCGCATTTTCCACCTTATGTCGTTGCTGTTGTTGTTGTCCAGAAAGGAAATGCGCGCTGCAGAACAGTACCCCAGACCCTATTGCTTATATACATGTATCTGTGTTTGTGTGTGTGTGTGTGTGTGTGTGAGTGTGTGTGAGTGTGTGTATATATATAGAGTATACACGCGATAGTCTTATGTGCAGCCCCTGTCCAGCGCCTTGCCTTTTAAATTGAGCGCAAAGATCTTGCGTATCTCATAGATACAATGTGTTCACATGTATATACAATATATATATATATATATACATGTTCTTGTTGACCGCCCCATTGAAATTTCAATAAATTTAAATTGCTCTCTAGTTAAATTAAATTAAAACATTTGTGTATTTTTAGTGCTAAATTAACATAAATTGGCATAAGCTTTGTTGTCGCCCAATCAAATGAAAAAGAAAAAAAAATTACACAAAAATGTGTTTAAATTGAAGTTAAAAAGTGCAAAAAGTGTCTTCAACTAAAATCAACAAATGTTTTTCATTTCATAATTTTTTAATATGCTAACAAAATATAAACCTCCCCCCTCAATCCCCTATCCAATCTATTTGCAGCCCATACTAAAAAAGAAAATAATTCAATCTCGTGCATCTCTTGTGTGTGCGAAGCTAATGAAAAAGAAAAAAATAATGCAGCAATCAATGCAAGCAATCTATTGAGAAATTAATCAATCAAGAGATCTAGTGCAAAAGGAAAATAGTATCTCGAAAATGTGCGAGTGAACGAGTAAAAATTAGAAAAGCAAAATCGAAGCAAATGAAATCTATATAGAGTTCAAGCTCTCAACACGACGGGATATTCATTCAATGGGAGGAGCGCGCCCATTTAAAATTATGCGCCTCCACGACGGCATACGAGAAATGCTCAATAGATCGTGAGTTCTCGAAACATGGTACGCGACAGCAGCCGTAACATTTGTTTTGGAAAATTAGCCGAAACTACGCAGCAACAACAACAACAAATAGCCGTGGATAGTAGCAGCAGCAACAAGAACAACAACAACAATAATAATAACAACAACAATAACAATAACAATAACAATAGCCAGAAACTACGCGATACATTAAAAAGGTAAGTTCTCGATAGGTTTAAGCGATACCCAAAACTGAAAATCTTCAAGAAGAAGCGAGCAGAAGTTTTCTGGCCAGAAAAACTATTGTATCTTAAAGGAGTCTTAGTTTTCTGGAGATTAAAGAGAACTTTGGTAGAAAGTCGAAAGAATTATTTATGAAAAATATTTCAAGGGAATTGCGCTAGGAAATTGAAGAGCTCTTACGGGTTAAATTCGTTACATGAAAGAAAAAGTAATCTGGAATATTTTTAAATGAGTATATAGAAAAGTGTAGAAGAAATTGTCCGGCATATGCCATTATGGAAAAAACCTGGTAACAAGAATTCATGTTAATAAAAGAGATAAACAGAGAAAATATGGAATTAAGCTGGGAAAACTCACAGATCTTATAAGGGAAACTGTCTGAAATATATGTGAAATTGTCAAAGATACAAAAGATGTCTTTGCAAAGAAATCAGACATCTCTTAAAGGGTTTTAGAATTCTTATATGTATATAAATATAATCAATACCAACTTGGGCATATTTAATATATGTATATAGAAAGTAGAAAGAAAAAGATAGAAAATCTTTATAAAACAGAATGTGCATCTGATATTTGCCCAGAATGAAAACTACTCCGAGTAACTGAAAATTTCTATGAGCTTATAGAATTTCCTATATAAATATATATATATATATTAAGTACAATACCTGTAACATATTTAAGTTATATAGAAAGCTATTTTCTGTCTTTATCAAATGAAATGCAAAGCTGATATCTCCCCCTCTAAAAACTACTAGAGTTCTCTCGTAGCAGCTGCCCAAGCTACTGCTCTTCGATTAAAAAGTATCTGATGCTCTTGGAATTGGAAACAACTGCAATCTGGCACAATTTGTATTTTCCTGTCGTGTTTGTCTGTGCGTATCTTGCAGATACCTGGAATTTTCCATGCGTGGAATAAGTGAGATGCGTGTCTAAAATGTATCTCAGCGCTAATGCGTAGGCCCTAAATTCAGCTAACGGTTGACACAAAGCTGCGACCACGACGACGACGACGAAATGAAAATCTCGAGTGGCCGCGTGGGTCTTGGGCTACTTGCTGCGCGCTGCGCCCACTGGCCAGAGTTGGGGCTTATCCGTCAGAGGGATCTGTGACACGTTGGCTTGTCGCCCCCCACCCCACCCCCAGCTCAATAGTATCTTGAGCAGATGCAGCTTAGCTGGCTGCCAGTGCGTTTGTATCTGTCAGATACACAAGTATCTCGTGCATGGGATACGTAAGTGGCCATGCCTAAAAACGCGTAACTTTTTACCTTGACTTGTCGTCGCATCTGTGCGTATCTCTTGGGCTGCTGCGACAGCTACCTGTGTGTGCTGTGTGTGTTAGCCAACTGTGGCGACGTGTACAGTAAAATCGGCCCAAGAGAGACGGACATTGGACACGAGACGGACATGTGGCACTCTCGTCGTCGTCGTCGTCGCCGCCGCAGTCGACGTCTATTTTGCGTTATTACGTAATTTCGTACACAATTTGGCTTTTTTCTTATTTTTTTTTTGGGCCCACAAGAATCGCGTTCTATGTGTGTGTATGTGTGTGTGTGTGTGCCTTAGACGCCTCTGTCTGCCTTTCATTTGTGTTGTTCTCTTGGCCAAAACAAGTTTTGTGGCCGTTGTTGTTTCTGCGTTCTCCCTATATATATATATAAATATATTTATTTATTTATTTATTATACCCTGCATCCATTGAACAAACTCTTTAAAATGGGGCTTACTTGTTTGGTCAGCATATTTAGACATATTCTTGATAAGCATCAACAGCCGCATCTGTCTAAGTAATCGTCAGGTTCTCAGGGATCTTAAGAGTTTCTGCTAAACATTTTATATCCATTCTTGAATATCTTTTCATAATAGATAAATATCGATTTTTACTTGAGTTTTAGGCGATATTATAGGACTATATAGAATATATAGAATACAGATCGAAAACTACAAGAGCTAGAGCTGAAATATTTGATATCTCTGCACGCATTTAAAATTCATTTGTAAGCTCTGAAAGATTTGCCACAATTGGAAAATACAACTGGGAGTTACTTTAGGTTAAAAATTGCATATTGGGGAGATGTGTGAAGAAGAAGAAGCACAGTTGCTGCGTAAAGTGCACAGCTTGCGATCTGTGCGAGTGTGTGTTGAGAGATAAGTTAACAGGAAGTTTGACTGCATGTTAAGACAGCTTTGCGCTGCTTATAGGGTATCTGCCAGTTGGGCGAACTCTTAACTTGTTTCCTTTAGTTTTGGCTGCCTTTTTCTAACGTTTTTGTTGTTCTTGGATGCAAAAGTCGACGCCTAATTGATTCATTAGCCGGCTTTACACATACAGGGCATCTGCTAGTCGAGCACGCTCGAGTGTAGCACTTCTAACTTGTTTCCCTTAGTTTTGGTTGTCTTTTTCTTACATTTTTGTTGCTGTTGGGTGCAAAAGTCGACGCCTAATTGCTTCATTAGCCGGCTCTAGCCAAAATAAAAGTGTTTTGCTAGCCAAGTCATTAAAGCGGCTCATAGAGAGCGCGGCTGGCGGTGCATTAAACCCGCATCAATGTCAGCAGAAAACAACCGCAAACAACAACAGCAACAACAATTGCTAGTTGTCGGTTAATTACAAGACAATCGTCAAAAGCAACAACAACAACAGCAACAACAAACGTAAAAAACCAGTCGACAGCTTTTTGACATTGACAATGAACCGCGCACCGCAGCTGAGAGAGTCTCAACAACAACAACAGCAACAATTACAACATCAACAGCAACAATTACAACAACAACAACAACAACAACAACATCGGTTTCTGGCCAAAATGTGCATAGCTAGATTACGCACCAACACTTTAGCCGTAAATGTATCTAGCCATTTGTATCTGTATCTGCGGGATACATTTCAAACGAAAATATGAAACAACCAGCTGTGTGCTCTGACGCATGAGCCAACATTTTTGCTTTCCCATTTTGCTAGCTATCTGCAATTTATACAATTATATTGTTTATACAGCTCCAAGCAATACCCCGTAAATGGCCAATAGCTAGAAATAGGCTATGCAAAGCTTGTGCACATATCAAAAACAAACTGAAGTAAGAATTTTCAATAACACGAAGTCTCTTAATCATTTGCTGCGCAGCCAGGGTATCTGCTATTCGAGCACTTTGCAGTGACTTCTACTTGAAATTAAAAAAGAATGCATAGAAAATTTCAAAAACGTCGACAGTTGGTTTAAAAGAAAATGGAATATTTGCCAAACATTGTCATAAATTAAAAAAAATTATTTTATTAAAAGAAATTACATAAAATCAAATAAAAGAAAAATAAAATAAATTAAATTCCATTCACGTAGATTTTACTGTAGAATTTAAAGCTGCTAACTTTATAAAATATTTTTACTATAAAAAATATAGATTATATATATAGGAAAAATTCTATTTACCGTAATTTTGCTGAAGGTTTTCATTAGGCTTTTCTGTTTTTTTTTTCTTTTTTCGGGTATCTTACTCTTCTGCCCCAAATAGAAGAATATATTTGCTTTCATTTTTACTGGGTATCTATTATGCGATTAGTTTTACTTTTTTTTACTTCCAGCTCAATTTGTTTTTTTTTTAGGTTTTTCTACAAAAGACGTTTATTTTTTATTTATTTTTTTTTTTTTCGTTTTGACCATAGATGTTTTTTTTTTCCACAATAGATATTTTTTTTTTTATTTTTTTCAAGCACAGATCAACGACGCTTAGTTTATTTATCAAACTTATTTATTGTTAAAGTTTCTTCCTTCCTGTTTTAATTTATTTAAATGCGTATATGGAATGTCTGTGCTTGATTTCGAGGAACACAACCTTTTGGGGCTGCCCAGTTTTGAACAGGTTCTGATTTCAGCTTGAGGTAAACTAGAGACTAACCCAACAAGTTTCAAATGTTCTGACGATAACAAATAAAACAATTATCTAATAGTTTATCTGGCCTGAGGCGGCTTTCAAGTGGTTTTCGACAAGGTTTACAAAAGTTTAAGTATTAAAAAGCAAGTTCCTTTTACATAATACGTTGGTTTTTGTTTATTTAGGAACTATTTCTCATGTTTTTTTTTATGAATCTCTTTGATTTTTTTGCTCAATTACAATCAACTAAAAATTCGTGTTTTGCTTTTTAACGCGAGCAAAAATCTTGACAATTGTTAAAGTACAACAAACAAAAATAACAACAATAACAAAGGTATCAGATTTTTTGTGCGTTTGTCTTGTTTCAATGTCATGTTACATTTAATTTTCTAAATTGTTGTTGTTCTATTGTTGTTGTTGTTGTTGTTGTTGTATATACATTTACGATCTATTCGGTCGTCGTCGTCGTTTTGTTTTTGTTCTCAATGTTCTTTTGGCATTGACAACGTCGCGTTCTGTGGGGCAAGCCAAAAAAGTAGATTAGATAGAGAACCGAAGCGTACCACATAGAATAAAATAGAATAGAATAGAATAGAATAGAATAGAACTGAATAGACCCGAGTCGAGCGGGGAGCGGGGAGCGGGGTGAGCATATTGTAATTGCGCTCACACGCAGATACAATTCCATTTTTTTCTCTTCATTATGGTCTATTTTCTATTTTCGAGCACCCAAAGAAAACAAATAGCAAAAAAAAAAAAGTATTGTAAACTCTTGTTATCTTTCGGCCAGGCCTTACTCAAGTTGTATGAAATGGAAAACAACTCGAGCTGCCGAGTTTCCATTTTTATTATTCTCCATATATATTTATTTTAATCTGATATATTATAATTGTATATATTGTTTAATGTATAGGGGCTTTTATTGCTGAGTCATTCAAAATTGCAGTTTTTTTTTACTTGATTCGCAAGTGCAATGGAAAATGGAGTTCGAATAATCTACAATATGTTTGTGAAGTTAAATCTAAACCAATATACAAAAATATAAAATATCCCGTCTTATGATTTTATATATATATTTTACAAGCCTAGCATGTGCTTATCG